CACTTACACATTATGCTTTTATAATTATTAGTTGTAAAACGGTCACCAGGCAATATTATCGTTTATCGCAATAAATTTTGAGACAATTAATCGCCCAGCAAAATTTGTTATCGTGACAGGCCTATCTTCCACGTCTTCAATGGAAAGTGGTGCGAGACACATCAGATTCCAAGCCCCCCAGGAACCACTGATATGACCAGCAGCAACCGTTCTACTCAGTCAGCTTTGTTCCCCTCGTTCCAACATTTATGTGGAAAAAATCGTGTCAACTGCATTCAGAGACCAGTTGACCAAATCCATAAATCCTTTTTGTTTCGGATGGTAGGTTTAGAGATAAACTATTAGACTGAAAAAGATATAAAGATTTATGTAATTGAATTATGTTCATAAACTGGTGAAAATTAGACTTGTTTTAACTTTCCTCATGAACCCTGACTTTTATCCTGGTATTCAGTCATTTTTTTCCAGTATTTTTTTTTTCTGTTTGAATCATTTTTATTATGTTTACATTGATGATGTGACTTTTTCTGTTCAAAGTGATGCTTCAAGTGCTGTACAAGCTGAAGACTGCCAAAGTGTTTGAGAGGGCTCGTGGTAAAGAGGAGAAACCGAGTACAGACATAGTAGATGAAGACCCGTTTGCCATCCAGACTTTGTTCTGGTGTCCTGAGAGCCGGATGCTCTGTGTGGCAGGAGTGTCTGCTCATGTTATCATCTACAGGTTCAGCAAACAAGAAGTCACCACTGAAGTTATTCAGGTGGGGACACACACGTTCGAAACATCACAAATGGGACTTAGTTATTTATTGAAAGGCAACGGGGTGATGATGCATGTGTGTGTTTGTTAGTAAAATATTTCATGAACCACTGGACAGATTTAAAGGAAACTTTGAAAAACTAATCTGTGGGTGTTAGATCTACAACTGATTTATTTTTTCAATCAGTCCACATGTCTGCCATAGCTAACTGACAAAAACATACACAATAAAGGCTCTAACTCAGTTTTACAGATGAAGTCTGTGTGTTGTGTAAAGTTTTAATAATAACAGAGTATGATGATTTGCAAATCCTTTTCAACCTATATTCCAGTGTTGTATAAAGTACCTCAAAGTTATACTTGAGTAAAAGTACAAGTATCTTAACAAAAAATTACTTTGGTAAAAGTTAAAGTACTCTTTAGGAATATTACTTGAGTAAAAGTCTTAAAGTATCTGATATTTTTTGTACTTACTTAAGTATTAAAAGTAAAAGTATTGATTTAAAATGAGCAGTTAGATTTTCTGTAAGGACATTTATTAGGAGGTGACCTCCCCAAAAACTGCAGAAATGACTGTTGTATTAAAAGAATTAATTGATGTTAAATTTAGGATGCACTAGTCCAGCTGTTTCAGTTTATATACATATATCAAGGCTGCACAAAGCTTTTCCCCAAAATGAAAATCTATCTGAGGGCTGCGGCCAAATGTAATAATATAATTCATGAAATACAAATACCTCCTCTACTTTTGAATACGGTATCAGAATTTTATATATTTGTACTTCTCATTCAACCACAGTTAAATTCACTCTATCTAGGAGGCTCAGTTTATGTGGATAGTATTTATTTTTTACAATAAGCTGGAATGAAAACAAGCAAAAATGAAATAAAAGTAACGACTTTTTACTTCTTGCCTTTTTTAAAATGTAAGGAGTAGAAAGTACAGATAATTATGTGAAAATGTAAGACGTAAAAGTAAAACGTAGGCTGAAAATAATTTCTCAAGTAAAGTACAGATAACTAAAAATTCTACTTAAGGACAGTAAAGAAGTATTTGTACTTAGTTACTTTACAACTCTGCTATATTCAATTAAACGCACTTCATTGACAAGATACAGTATTTCCTGTTCAAACGGATAAACTTTATTGGTTCTTTGCGAATATTCAATATTTAGGCAGCACGACAGCTCAGTGGTTAGCACCAACGCCTCACAGCAAGAAGGTCCTGGGTTCGATCCCTGGTTTGGACCTGGGGTCTTTCTGTGTGGAGTTTGCATGTTCTCCTCGTGCTTGTGTAGGTTTTCTCCAGGTACTCCGGTTTTGCCCACCCCTAAAAACATGTACAATAGGTTGCCTTCAGGCCCAGGCCTCCCTTGAAAAGAGGTCTGAGATCTCAACGGGACTTGCCTGGTTAAATAACGGTAAATAAAAATAATTAATAAAATAATAAAATTCACTCATTTTGAATTTGGTGCCAGCAAAAAAGCTGGGAAATTTGAAGAATGCTCAAAAAACACCTGCGTGGTGCATTCCACATGTAAACAGGTTAATTGAAATTGGGTGAGTGTCATGATTGCATGATTTGGGTGAGCAAATAGTTGGACTAAGACCGTCTCATGATTTAGTGATTTTACACAGATTGGTCCTGTCACAATACTCACACAACACCCTATGCCATTCTATGAAATGTGCACTCAGCCGAAGTGCAGGTAAGGGTTCGATTGTGCAAAAACTGGAGAATTGGAACAGTATGGGTGACGTCATTGACTTGTGCCTCTGCGTTGTAACTGCAACATCCAAAATGGCAGGACCGGTAGCTGTTTTGGCATTTACTACTACAAATTATAATTAAACTACAACAAACAATCATTTTTAGGGAGAAGAAAATGCCTGAACCAGAGTATAAGTATATAAACTGAAGTGTACACCAGAGTATACGATCTTATTTTCCATAAGTTCTTCTTTGATTTCATTGGCAGTTGGCAGACTAGTTTAAGTGCATTACTGCCACCACTAGACTGGAAGGTGCTTGGTGGACGTTGCCATATTTCTGCCTTTTAAATTTTCGAATCTTGGCTAAGCTGGTGCCTCCAGGTCATGTAATATACAGCAGAGATTCTTAACCCATGGGCCGCGGCCCGACTGGGGGCCATTAGCGCCACCTTGATGGCCTCAAAAGAACAATAGTTTTTAACTTTGGACCGCGGTTTTGAATAAGGTGTAATACATTTTTTCACCACTAGTAGCAGTAGTGCACCACTCAGTTGTTTAACAACTTTTTAATAAGTAGAAGAAGACTCTTTGACCCCTGCCGAGAATGGAAACCTATTTTAAATGAAAAGTAGAAGCAAAAATGAAAATAACATCAAAAAACACCAAAGTTTGTCACTAAAATGAAGTACAGCTTCTGATTTTACCATGTAATATTTTAAAAGTTCAAAACATTATCAAATACAGTTGCAGATACA